GTGGTCCATTTAACAGAAGCTGGGCCGCGTGGGAGGCCACTCGACATGATGCGCCGCTGCAGATTGTCTCGTGGAATGCACGTGGCCTACTATGCCGTAACCCTCATCGATGCCGTCAGAAGTTTCGCAGATTGGAGAATGCCTTCCGCTCGCGGGCGCTCATTATCATTCAAGAATGCCATGGTTCGCAGACAGAACTCACCATGATGCTTGCACGATCTCCATTTTCAGCCAACTACACTGGACATTTTTCTGCCTGCAAAGATCATGTTGGCGAAATACGACGTGGTGCTGGAGGAGTGGCTGTACTCGTACCCAATATCACACGTGCTGAGCGGGATCAGCTACGCCAAGATGAAGTTGCTGGCCGCCCTCCCTCTTTCACAAGTCCCATCATCACGCCAAAGACCCTGATTGACGGTCGCATCCAGTTGATCACGATCGTCCACTCCTCTGCTGATCGCGAGATCCGCATCATGAATGTGCACAACTATGACCTTGATAGCGACCAGAAGCGACAACTTCGCCAGGAATGGGAGATCCACTCGGCTTGGGCACTTTCGGACCCCCTACGATACACCTTCATCGCGATGGGTGACTTCAACTTCTCGGATGTCCCTGCCCAGTCGTACCTGGTGCCGCAGGGGCCCCAACGACGCCAAACTCAAGATGGACGTTATCAGCAGAACCAGAACTTCTGGCGCCAGCTTGTGCGCACGAACGTGGTCGAGATCAGCTCAGAGATCCCCACCTTTTTCTCCCAGCAGTACCAGACGGGCACCACTATAGACAGAGTGTTCATCGCGATGCCGCCCGCGTTCCTCACGTGCCTGCACTGCGAGCTCAACGTCACACAAGACTCAGCGGCGCTCTCGGACAGAAAGCTCAGTGATCACGCCATGCTCAAGCTCACGATTGAAAATCGCAAAGCACCTGAGCGTAGTCAACGACCCATCCCAGACTTCATCTTCCGCTCCAAACAGTACAAGAAGCTACTGAAGAAGATGCTGAATGAAGCCGAGCTCGACACGATGACCGACCTGCGGCGCTTCGATGTCACAAAGCAGATCATGCTGATGGCGGCTGAGCTCGCGCGCAACGAGTTGCAGCAGCTCCCGCTGGGCACAGGCGACGTGAACGCGCTGGAGAGTAGGCGCCTCTCGCTCCGTGCTATTGCACGCGCCATCTGGCGCTCGGATATGCCTACTGCTCGCCTGCTTGCCGCCACAACAGAGCTTGGCAAAGATCTTTTGAATGTTTCAGGCTCCTCCCCGCAGCTTCGTGACCCGGCCGCGTTTCAAAGTGCTGTAATCCGAAGCAACCAAGAGTGGTTTGAGCGGGCTCAGCATCTGGCCGCTGCTCGTGCTGCCCGTGCTCAGGATCAACCCTCACTGGAGGAACAATGCCGCATTCAACGTGCGCTGCAGCGCCGCGCCGCGCTGTGGACGCCCTTTTCGAAGCGTCTCATCTTGCATGGCATCACCACTCCCCAGATCGCCCAAAATCCCAGAGGCGCTGATGGCAGCTCTGTGCTCCCACCGGTGGCCAGAGAGCCAGAGGCCGTCGCCCGTGCGCTCCGAATCCATTGGGGCCCGATTTTCTCGGATAAAAGCGTCCCGCGGGCTGAAATCAATGCCTTCCTGGATCGCAACATGCCTGATTTCCCCGCGGCTGTCTTGCCGATCCCGTCCAAAGAAGCCCTCTTTCAGGCATTTAAGCGAGGACGGAACTCAGCGCCAGGACCAGATCGTCTCACCTACCAAGCTTGGCTGGCGGTCCCTGAGACCATCGATTGCCTCTACCCCATCTTCCTTCGCCTCTTTAGCTCCCTGCCTGCTCCTCCCTCGCTCAACCACTCAATTTTTGTTTTCCCGCCGAAGGGAGACAAGATCGGCGATGCCATCGAATGCCTGCGTGATGCATCGGAAGTTCGGCCCCTGTCCCTCAAAAACTGTGACGCCAAGGCGATGGCGTCTGCAATTAACTTCCCGCTAACAAAGTTAGCGCAGGAACGTGTACACTCCACCCAGCAGGGGTTCATTAGAGGGCGCAACTTCTGCCAGAATATTGCGAAGCTCGACGCACGCGCACGAGCAGCAGGGCTCCATGAGCTTGCATCTTGTCGGATGCCTCTCTTTGTGGCGTTCGACATCAAAGCAGCCTTCCCCAGCATGAATCGCACGTGGCTCTTCGCGGTTCTGGAGAGAGTCGGTCTCCCCCCAGGATACCTCGCGGCCATTCAGGGCATGTACAACAATGCGCTCGCATTCACCCGCATCCGTGACGAGCTTGTCTCACTACTTCTGATCAATTCAGGGGTCATGCAAGGCTGCCCGCTCAGTGGCTCACTCTGGGCCTTTGGGATGGACCCAATCATTCGCTCTCTGGAGCTGGCGCTCCCGCCTGACCCATGTGATGGCTCTCTCGGTGGATGCGCTGACGATCTCGGCGCGGTTCTGTCCAAGTTCGTGTACCTCACTCGCCTCTTCCCCTCCTTTGCCTCGGCCTCCCGCCTCGCCTCGCTTCACCTCAACCCCCTCCAGTGTGTGATTGTGCCCTTGTGGGCTGAATGCACGCCAGCGGTCACAGCTGACCTTCGTGCGTGCTTGCGCTACGTTCTTCCACAGTGGCAATCCTTCACAATAGCAGGTTCGGCCAAATATCTTGGTATTTACATCGGCCCCGAGTGCACGAACGCCCAACAGTGGGCGGCCTGCTCGCAGAAATGGTGGGAGAGAATCCTGAAGACCTCCGCCTCTGACTCCCCTCCTGACGCCTCCCTTCGTCTGTACCAAGTCGCGATTCTCCCCACCTTAGGCTACGTTGCCCAATTTTACCCGCCACCTGTCGCGCTCCTGGCTAAGGAGCCGCGATGCATCCATAAGCTCCTCAAGCTGCCTCCGAGCTCGCTCACGGGACCAGATTTGTGGTCTCTCCGCGCATGGGCACCTGGAGCGGCGCCTCAGTCGATCGCAGCGTACGCGGCCGCGGTGAGCTGGCGTACGGCCCGCAGCACCATCCCATCATATCACACCTGGAGGACGGAGCTCGAGGAGGCCTCCTGGCAGGGAAACACACTCACCCGCCACGTCCGAGACCTCTGGAGCCCGCCGTTCTGGCGCGACCAGCGCGCTGTAGTTCAATTCCTGCACGAGCGCGTGCACTCAATCGCGCTCCCGAAGGTCCCCTCCGCCCCTCAACGTGTTGCCGCTGCCGAGGCTGAGCAAGCAGCCGCAATTGCTGAGACGCTGCAAAAGCGCCCGAAGCTGCAGGGGGTGTACACTCGTTCCCTCACCCGTGAATTGTACCCCGATCGCCTGCACCTGACGCTGCAGAAGCGCGTGCAGGCCTGGTATCCTGATTCATCTTTCCCCCCCCTGGCCCCTCGCTGGCCTGCTTTAAAAGCCATCCTGGCCAAAAGCCGCCCTGCCCTTTTCTGGTCCGTCCTCAAAACCTTGGCGGGCGGGTGGATCACGACCCACCGCATGCATATCCTGGGCCAGCGAGGATGTGTTCTAGGGTGCGAGGGGATGCCTGATTCGATTTCGCACTACCTCTCCTGTCCTCGTCTCCTTCACCTCGTCGCCTTACCTCGCTCCTTCCTTCCTGACTCTGTCATCGTGCGTCTTGGTCTCGGTGAGGAGGCCGAATACACGGGCGAGACCTCTCGGGAGCGCGCAGTCTTTCTTCTAGCGCTCGCGTTCAAAGTTTACCACACGCTCAGGGTGCGACCGAATGGATCGCCCTCGCCTTCACTTTACAAAGAGCACCTTGAGGTGCTGGCTGCAGCGAGACGCTCGCTCTCTGCCTGAGAAGCTGACACGTGGCGCGCCAAGCTACGTGCGATCCTCCTCCTCCTCCTGCTCCTGCTCCTTCTTCTTCTCATCCTCCTTCTTCTCCTTGTTGGGACTGGTCCGGAGTGTTGGGTTTCCCGCGTTATCGCCAGGGACTGTTGTTAGTCCATGTGCTGCTGCTGCTGCTGCTGCTGCTGCGGCTGCTGACTCTTCAAATCAAACATCAGGGTTCAATGCTTTTCGTTGTTTTGGAAAATCGGGATGTTGGAAATGTCAAGGGTTTTGCTGTGCATGAAAAGTGAGCGTTTCGCCCGAGACATCCTTCGAACCAATGATATGTTGGAAAAGCTCGTGTATTACCTCTCATATAAAAATGGCGCTTTCGCTCTGGACATCCTTAGAAAGTCGGGCGGGGCGCGGCAGACCGACAAAAATAAGCACGGCAGAAAATTATCATGTCGCTGGGGACATCTTCAAACAATGAGATGTTCGCAACAACGTCTCGACATCGTTATCGAAGTGTTTCCAGGTGAAGAAATGAGAGCCCCAAAAGGAACCCAAGATGGCTCCAACAGCGCCCTGGAGACTGCCGAAAATGACGATTTCGCAGGGGCATCTTCAAACATGAACAAATGCAACACCATCGTTTTGAAAGCTGCTGTTCTAACATCGCCTTGGAATCGCTCCTGAAAAGGTTTCCTGATGGTCTAAGCCAGCCTTCTAAACATAACGATTTCGCTAGGGGCATCCTCAACACAAATAATGTGTCTAACATCGCACTGTAATGATTTTGGAGGGCATCAAGACGGCCCCAAAGGGCCCCGAGCCCCAATATGACCCCCAGGATCGCCCTCGAGACGACCCCAAAATGTGATTTCGCTTAAGATATCCTCACAACATTGCTATGCTCGTAACATCGATGTTATCAAACATACGCGTTTCGCCTTAGACGTTCCCCAAGCATGGGAAGTCACGAATTTGACATCTGTTCAAAAACTGGTGCATCGCCTGAGACATCCTCACAACCATGATTTGTTGGAGAGGCGGTTTTACTACCTCTCATGTTAAACATGGCGCTCTCGCTGCAGACATCCTTAGAACATCGGGCGGAGCACGGCGGACGACACAAAAGCACGGCAGAAAATGAGTATGTCTGCCGTGTTCCTTCTTTTTGGGGGTCTATTTGCCGTGCTCCTTAGCGCTTGGGGTATATTCTGCCGTGCTCCTGGTTTTCTTCTGCCGTACTCCTTCGCTCTTCGGGCCTGTTCTGCCGTGTTCCTGGTCTTTTTCTGCCGTCTTCCTTAGCTCTTGGGGTCTACTCTGCCGTGCTCCTGGTCTTTCTTCTGCAATTGTCCTTCGCTCTTGGGGCCAATTCTGCCGTGCTCCTTAGCTCTTAGGGTTTATTATGCCGTGCTCCTGGTCTTTTTCTGCCTTGCTCCTTCGCTCTTGGGGCATTTTCAGCTTTGCTTCTTAACACTCGGGGTCTATTCTGCCGTGCTCCTGTTTTTTTTCTGCCGTGATCCTTCGCTCATGGGGCCTATTCTGCCGTGCTCCTGGTTTTTTGTATGCCGTGCTCCTTCGCACTTCGGGCCTATTCTGCCGTGCTCCTGGTCTTTTTTTCTGCCGTGCTCCTGAGCTCTGGGGGTCTAGTCTGCCGTGCTCCTGGTCTTTTTCTGTCGTGCTCCTTCGCTCTTGGGGTCCATTCTGCCGTGCTCCTTCACATTTGGGGCATATTCAGCCCTGCTCCTTAGCTCCTGGGGTCTATTCTGCCGTGCTCCTGGTCTTTTTCTGCCGTGCTCCTTCGCTCTTGGGGCCCATTCTGCCGTGCTCCTGGTATTTTTCTGCTTGCTCCTTAGCTCTTGGGGTCTATTCTGCCGTGCTCCTGGTCTTTTTCAGCCGTGCTCCTTCGCTTTTGGGGTCTATTCTGCCGCACTCCCTTGCTCTTGGGGTCTATTCTGCCGTGTTCCTAGTCTTGTTCTGCCGTGCTCCTTCGCTCTTGGGGCCTATTCTGCTGTGCTCCTGATCTTTTCCTGCCGTTCGCGCAGAGAAGCTCCGCCAAAACGACCACCGCGACGATCCGCACGGCAGAATAGAGGAGCACGGCAGAACACACAGCGCACACATATGCACGGCAGAACACAGAAGCATGGCAGAACAGGAGCATGGCAGAACACACAGGAGCACAGCAAACACACACACACACACACACACACACACACACACGCACGCACGCACGCACGCACGCACGCACGCACGCACGCACGCACGCACGCACGCACGCACCCGCACGCACACACACGCACACACACACACACACACACACACACACACACACACACACACACACACACACACACACACACACACACACACACACGCACACACGCACACACACACACACGCACGCACGCACGCACGCACGCACGCACGCACGCACACACGCACGCACGCACGCACGACGCACGCACACACGCACGCAACGCGAGCACGCACGGCCGACAACACCTTGAGCCACGCATCCTGCGCGGCGTAACAGCAACAGGTAGAGCCCACATGCTTTGGTGGACCAGAGCGACCTTCCCGTTCTTGTCCCGGTCAGGTTTCCCCCCGCGGCGCTGTCGAGGCGATCGCGCCGGGCTGCGGCCCGTTGGTTCTGCCAAGGGCCCCGATGGGAAGATCGAGCTTCCTTGGCGCCCGCGTGCCACTGAAGGCGCGCCTGCCGGCCCCCGACGTGGGCGACATTCCTTTGTCCCCTGTGGAGTAGGAGGAGGAGGAAGGAGGAGGAGGTATGCAGTAGTACGGGAGGAGGAGGATGAGGAGGAGGGGGAGAAGTAGGGGGAGAGAGGAGGAGGAGAGGAGGAGGAGGAGGAGGAGGAGGGAAGGTTTTGGCCTAAGCGCGCGCGCGAGGGCACATCCGAGATTCGTACCCTTCTTCCCTCACAGGTCTAACCTCAGGCGAGCACATTGCCGCGCAGATTTCTGCGCTTCCCTTCCTTTGTTGCTACGAGCGCGACAGGCCTTTCCGAGGAGACCTGGCACCGTGCGGCCAGGCGCAGACGCTCGTGGGTCAGGACTCTTGTCAGACTCGGCGAGGCAGCAGAGCTACTGGGAGCGCATCATTCGTCGCAGAGAGGTTTGGTGGATTCCATGGGCTCGCGAGATGGGTCCCGAGGAGCCGCGGCACGAGCTGCAGGAACATCGGGCGCACCCCGCTATACTTTATGGCGTCCTAGTGAACATGCAGCGGCGCCGTGGCGAACGTCGCAGCAACCACCTTGTCGAGGCAAAGGCAGTAAAAGCAAGAGCAAATCGCAGCCGTGGTCTGATGATTGGGAACGGGACTCATGGGAAGCTGAACGCCAATTACCGTCAGTACCAGAACCCAAGTGGAAATGTGGACTCTGCGGCTGCGGAAAGAGCGCGTTTAGTATGGAAATATGCAAGCACTGTCACCAAACGCGTACCGAGGCAGCCACTAATATCAAGCAGCTGGCACTTTGCGATGGCCCTTTTCCTCCTCCTGTTAGTATTCTCAGGCAGAGGTCAGCCACGCCAGCAGCGCATGGAGACCCCGCTGCTGCAGCAGGACGAGAGCAGAATCGAGGCCGAGGTGCCCGTGTTCGACAAGTCAGTTTCGAAGGCGATCGACGTGTGCCTACTGTCAGTGCCCTGGAGCTGCAGCAGCTCATCGGTTTCTTGGAGAAAGCAGGAGATGTGGAAGGAGCTGCTAAGTATCGAGCGCAACTCCAGTGTATGCAATCTGAGCAGGTGGCACCTCCAGCACAAGAGCGAGCATCAAAGGTTCATGCACGTATTCAACGGTTGGAAGCCACACTCACTGAAGAGCTTGACAAGCTGGAGCGGCTGGAGAGACAAGCTGAGCAGCAGAGAAATGTCGTTCGAGAAGTTCAGTCGGCTCTCAATGATTCGGATGAGGAGTATCGCAAGCTGGTCGCGGAGATCGCCCGTGCTGCTGGTGGCTTTCACGTGGAGAGGGAAGCAGCAGCCCCAGTCAAGATTTCAATTGACAAAGTGGTCGACGGCACGGCAGCAGCGACGGACTTGTTCGACATTGGCAGCCTGTTCAAGGACGTCAGTGACTATGAGCTCACTCCTGAGGACTCTGCGCAGCTCGAACGTCGCAAAGTGGCGCTCAACGCTCAAGTTCAAGGCATCACCAAAGAGTTGTTCCAGAAAGAAGGCGTTGGAGGATAACAATCGCATTCGGGCAGAGCATCAGGAGCATCTGGGGCGACTACAGCGGAAGCGGCAGCGGGTCGACGCGCCGGCTGAACAACCTGCGGAGCCTGCTGAGCGCCCGTCGCCTGAGGCCCCGCAGCCAGCTAGCGCGGGCGAAGCTGGAGGCGCTGGCTCAGTGCCAGGTGCCGACAGTTCGCCCGCGCCCGAGGCCGCTGCCGCCCCAGCTGAGTCCAAGGGGCCCTCTGCTTCTTGACCCCTGTCTGTTTCCTCGGGCTCGGTTGCATCCCAGGGAGGAGGCGGCAGCGGTGCTCGAGCTGCCTCTGGCGTGCGTCAGAGAGCAGAGGCAGCGCTCCGCGGAAGCACCGATGGTTTTTGCGACGTCGATGTTTCTGGAGCTTTCCTGCCCCCCAGGAAGCGCTTGATTCCCCCCATGGCCGCCAGCTGCGCCCAGGGGGGAGCTCTCGCAGGTAAGGTTTCACATGCTCATGGGAGCTGGAGGCTCCCAGGAGGTCGACAGTTGGATCTGCTGCCCCCCGCTTTGCTTGTTGCGGCGGGGCGATGGCGGCTTCTATGTTCGATCTCGGTCGACTTGTCCAGATATCTGTCTGAGGTCTCGGGGGCCTGGTTCTTGGGCGAGGGGCCCGCGGGTTCCCGATTCCTTCCCAGTTCTGGTCGGTCCGACTTAGGGTTTGTTTCTGATAGCTTTGTTCCTTCTAGTCCCCGTGGGCTTCCTGGGGCCTGCGTCTTGGGCAAGGGGTCCTCGAGTAGCCGCCAGGGGCCTCGCGTCGAGCCGCTGAATGCCATTATTTCTGAGCCGTCTTCCAAATTAAAACCTGCCCCCACACCGGTTCTCCAGCCCGCCGAAGTTAGGTCCAAGTCGGGTGGAACTCGTCGAGGCACGGTGACGTTCAAGCTCGAAACATGCAACGCTACTTCCTGGAGGTCTATGCTTCGGCATGTGGACAAGGAGGCCGACGCGTCTGTGGCGATGCTGCAGGAGCTCACTCTTGAATCCAAAGACAGGACCGACGGGGAGGCCAACGTAAGAAAGTCAGGCTGGAATGCCTGCCTCCACCCATCTTTCGTCACTGAGTATCACTACGGGTCTAAAGGGAGAAGCTGTGAGAGAGCGGCATGGGAGCAAGCCGTCACGGTGGAGTTCACGGCAGGTCAAGGCATGCCATCGGCAGCAGCACTGGTTGACCCGACCAGAGCGTACGAACATGTTGTGCACTTTCTGCTCGTGATGGCCGCGGTCCGGCATGATTTTCCTTTGGTCAGACTGCGAATACTACTCAGGCAGTATCGTTGCCCACGCCTCTTGCAGAGTGGGCCCATGGCCTCGGCTATTATTGGGGTGGAACAGGGAATTATAGCAGGGTGCTCTTGGGCAACATCTTTGATGAAGTTAATTCTCCTTGTTCCGCGCGACGCTGCTAGGCTGCATTGGCCCAGCGTTTCCATTTTCAACGTTGTCGACGATTTGGCCTTCTTCGGCTCAGCCACGTCTGACAAGCTCGGAGGTCTGGTGGGCTCTGCCACCAGGTACGTGCGCACGCAGTTGGAGAGGCCCCAGCTCATTGTTACGAGGGAGGAAGGGGTTATCGTGTCGTCGGACAACATCGTCGCCGCCAAGATTCGGGAAGAAGCTAGATAAGTGGGATTTTGTTATTGGTAGCTCGTCCAAGAACCTTGGGGTTGACTTCGGTATGAAAAGAACAAGAGGGCCTCCAAGGTCTAACTTTCCAGGCTTCGGAAGCTTCGTCCTCGTGTTCAGCGCTATCGTGGACTTCGAAGTTAGTTCCGAGGTGCTGCTGAAGTCGTTCGTGTCGGAGCTCTGCCTGCTGCTATGCGTGGTACTCCTGTCATTGGTTTGTCGGACAAGAGAGTGGTCGAGCTCAGGGCCCAGATGGGCCAAGCCCTCTTTGGGGCCCCGAAGGGCAGGTCTCGCACCCTCGAGTTCCTCCTGGGCCCTGAGCCATTGGCGGACCCCGGGTACTTGGCGAACTCTGGTCCGATCATGTTTTGGATGTTGGCATTGCAGCAGTCTTGGGTTCCTGAAAGGATCATACGATCCTGTTTCGAGGCGTTCATGAGGCTCGAGAACGTGTCTTGACAGTACGTGCAGGGTCCTGCTGGTGCGGTCATCTGTACTTTGGAGTGTTTGCGGTGGGGTATCGTCTCCTGGGACTCCTGGGCCACTGACGACGGCATCCCGATCAATCCCCGCATTTACGGCAAAAGAAGCTTCAGGTCCCTGGTTAACTCCAGCACCCAGAGGTCCCTGGTACAAGGCCTAGGTGGGCCAGTCGAGAAGATCGATGGTCTAACCGCAGGTCCCTGCCTCACGCCGCTTGTTGAGCATTTGAAGGAGCTGCGCACGCTGGGGAAAGGATCTTCAGCAGGCAGACTGGCAACGGCTGTGGCAGGTGGTTCCCCGACGCAGCAGACGCTTTTCACGGATCGCAGAGTTGTGTCGCAGGCTTGCCTATGGTGTCTGCAGAGTCCAGGCGCCAGGAAACACCGCCTGTACCTGTGCGATGCACACCGCCTGTTCAGACGAGATCTCGATTTAGATGATGTTATCCAGGCTGGCTGCGAGGGAGGGGATGACGACCTCGCAACAACAAGATGCCTCATCCCCAGCCCCGAGTGGGAATGGCCTAAGCCCTACCTCACAGCCCAACCTAAATGGAGTGTGTACCCCAGATGGCGTCCTCGACTCGGGCTTCGTCTGCTTAGATGGCTCGGCCGTCGACCCAGAGTTGCTCAGCTTCACGAGGGCAGGATACGGTGTGGTCGCAGCCGACCTGGGGGGCAACACCGAGGGCTCACTCTACGGCCCCTTGCCGCACCCGCTGCAGATGGCGGGCTGTGGAGAGGTCTACGCGCTGCTCGTGGCCCTTCGCTTTCTTGGGCCGACTGTCGCCACCATCGCCACTGATTGCAAAATGGTTCTTGATATCTGGTCCAAGGGCCCGCTCCAGGATCTATCTGACGTGCGTTTCAGTGGGCTTTAGTGTGACATTTTCAGGATTGCTACTGATATTGGTTTTGGAACTCTATCCATGGTGAAGGTGAAGTCACATTTAAGTAGAGCGGCTGCCCTATCCAGAGACACACCGTGCTGGGCCTGGGCTGGCAACCGCGAGGCAGATCGTCCTGCGCGACTCGGTGCCGAAGCCCAGGCCTCCCTCCCGCATGTCAGACAGCGCTACGAGGTTGTCCCGGCTAGGGTCCTCCAGACAGCTCGTTTCGTTTCGAGTATCATGGACAGTTTGGCAAGCCAAGGTTCCCCTGATGTGACTAAGATAAAACGCGCAGTTCGTCGGGCGGTTTCGCGTCGGGACGCGTTCGGCGGTACCGCGAGGAGCAGGTTCGCGCTACGGGGCCCGACGGAACGCGTGTTCGCCGGCGGCGGGGGGCGATTCGGGCGGTTTTCGGCGGTCGCGGATCCGGCGCGGCGGCGGGGGACGGACGTGGTTTCGGCTGTGTCGGCTCGCGCTCGTTCGGCGCGGGGACGCGTCGGGTCGTCGACGCCGCGGCGGCGTCGTCGGCGGCTGCGGCGTCGGCGCGCGCAGTTCGATCCAAATCAGCGGTTTTGCAACTCGTCCCTGAGCCCCGAGGCCATGTACTGATGAATGTAGGCAAGTCGTATGCATGCACTCGGTGTGGGGACAGGGGCAAGTCTAGGGTTTCGATTTGCATAATCCCTTGCCGTGGCCTACCCCGCCCCGCCCGTGCCTCCCACCCCTCCCATAGAGTTTGGGTTGGGGGAGGTCGGGTGGCCTATTGTTCCAAATGTGGAGCCTTCGGATCCGAGCGTTCCAGATTTCTTCGGGAGGAGTGCCACGGTGGGCCCAGGAATCGGGACGCTGCAAACTCTTTGAGGCTCTTGGACCCGTCGAATGGAGCCCATTTCGGCAGGAGCTTTCCCGTCTCCCACCTCCTGGCTGTGCCGCCGCCGCTGTCTAATCCATCGCAGCCGCCGTGAGCACTGCAGGAGGAAATTCGTTTTCTTTAGCTAATTCTCTTTAACGGGCCTGTTGCTGCATCATCCTCTGTATAGGCGGTAACTTGTTCTCTTCGCAGAAGGTCGCAGAAGGAGGAGGAGGAGGAGGAGGAGGAGGAGGGGTAGGAGGAGGAGGAAGGGACCCCAAGGAGAAGAGAGAGAGGAGATGATTAGGAAGGAGGAGGAGGAGGAGGAGGAGGAGGAGAGGGAGGATGGGGAGGACTAGGACGATTCGTTCTCTGTGCTGCTTAGCCTGGAGAGCTGGTGTGGAGACGCGCCATGCCTGTCGACCGCCATCCCTGGGCCCCGCGGGCGGTGATCATCACAGCGCGGGGCCTGGCGGGCAGAGAGAGCAGAGCGTGCGGGTGCTCCCTGGGGATCCTGCCTCGCTCTCGGGCGGGGATCGCTCGAAGCAGAACATGTGGGTTGAGCATTTTGGCACTGTTCTTTGGGGTAGTTCTTTGGCTGAAGTTGTGTATCGGGGCGCAGCCGATCCGATTTGGATCTCGGCTCCGCGCCGATAGCGGCCCGACCCCCAGAGTCTCCACCCACTGCCAGGGACCGGCTTGTCATTCCGAGTCGTTTCTTGACGGTCTTGGGTCCCGGTGAGGGCCCCCATAAGCGGAAAATTGCCAAACTGATCGGTCGTGTTTTTCACGACGCGAAGGGGTCTGGACTCCGTGCCGATAACGGCCCGATCTGAGGCGCATCGCGAGTCAATCCGACCTTCCGACGTCGCAACATCCACCGTCGGGAAAAAATGGAGCACCGCCAAAAATCACGACCGGAGTCCTGGACTTATGCTGTTCCAGCCTACTGTAGCCTTGATCACCAGAAAGAACTTCGAGCGCCAAGGAAGTACTTACTGAAGCTGGATGGTTTTTACGTGTCGGGCCCTGGGAGGCGATGCTCGATCGACGCTGTCTCGACACTTCTCTGGGTGCCCGAAAGTATTTCTGGGACGTGGCCCTTCAGTACGATGGGAGCAACAGAATACAGTCGAGGCCTTGAAGAAGGAACCCTTTTCGTTGGGGAGGGGCTCCGCGTTCCTGAATTGTTTCACAGTTTGCCCCAGGTTTTCCTTATGTTTTCGATCGGAAATCGAAGTTCAACTTGTGGAAAAAAAGGGGCCTCGTTCCTGATTCAGGGTTCCTTGGGTCAACGCCCCGACTGTAGTACGAGACCCCGGACCCCACCTCTCTGCACCACCGCCCGAGCCAGCTCCATCTGTGAGGGCCCCGGGGCCGGAAAAACGAGGCCACCGCGCCCGGCTCAAAAAAACACGGAGGCGCGCCAGGATCTCAGGGGCGGCAGCCCGATCCGACGCGCGTCCCAGATCGATCCTCCTCCTCCTCCTCCTCCTCCTCCTCCTCCTCCTCCCCCTCCTCCTCCTCCTCCTCCTCCTCCTCCTCCTCCTCCTCCTCCTGTTCCCCTCCTCCTCCTCCTCCTTCTCCTTTCCCCTCCTCCTCCCCTCCCCCTCCTCCTCCTCTCCTCCTCCTCCTCCTCCTCCTCCTCCTCCTCCCCTTCCCCTCCTCCTCCTCCTCCTCCTCCTCCTCCTCCTCCTCCTCCCCCGCCTCCTCCTCCCGACGCAGCCCCGAGCCAGCGCCGAGGATCTTGGGGCCAGAGGCTGCGCGGGAGCTGGCGAAGGCGCTGGAGTCGAGCGCGACCGTGAGGCTTCCCCGGCCCACGTTGATCTCGATCGATCGATATACGGCTCGACATCTCCTGAGGTCGACATCGATTTCGCTTCGTGGAGTAGTCACGACGGGAGGTTTTTTGTTTGTTCTTCGTTTTTTCGGCTTCCGGGGGCCGTCGCCTGGCCTCGGGACCGCCGAAAACGCTTCGGGATGAAAAACAACCCTGGGGAAGGGGTGAGGACCTCCAGGGGGCCCGCGCAGGAAAACATCTGGGCGCTGCGTTTCCGGAGCACCCCCTATCCATGGAAAGCCGAGGGTCGACCCTGCGACCCAGGGTTGCGCTGTGTGCCGCGCGGGGCAACTCGCCCCGTCGCGGGCCCCAGGCTCACCACACAGCGATCCCGCTCCAGAAGTGCCGCAGAGCACTGGGTGACGTTGAGCTCCGGGGTCGCGCTTCTCCGCGAGGTCGTACTTTGGTCGCAGCCTCGGAGCTCAGGGCTGGAGGACGGCACCGCGCATCGCCGAGGCATGGGCGACGTGGCTCGAGCGGGAGCCCCGTCTTCTCCACCCCGGATTCGCCTGCGCACTGCCGATGCATCGGCGAAGCATCGTCGATGTGGCCCCAGACGTGCGAAGCCTTGCTTTTTTCAGTACGGGGCCCCTGGAAGTCCCGACCCATTCCCCGGGACCAGTTTTTCGTCCTGATCCGTTTCTGGGCGGCCCCGAGGCATGGTGAGAGCCCTTCGAGGCCCAAAACGGCCAACACACTCCCGTCCGGATTGTTTTCACGACGCGAGCATGTCTGGGGCCCCAGTCTGCACGCCTGAGGAGGAGGAGGAGGGGGAGGAGGAGGAGGAGGAGGCGGAGGAGGAGGAGGGCGAGGAGGAGGAGGATGAGGAGGAGGAGGCGGAGAGGCGGGTATGAGGAGGGATGAGGAGGAGAGGAGGAGGATGAGTGAGGAGAGAAGGGCAGGGCGGAGGAGGAGGAGGAGGAGGAGGAGCAGAAAGGGCAGGGGAAGGAGGAGGAGGGGGAGGCAGATGAGGAGGAGGGGAAAGGCGGGAGGGGGAGGGGAGAGGGGGAAGGGGCTCGAGCCCCAGGGCCAGTGTATTGCCCCTCACCGAAGTTGTCGCGACTGAAGCATCTGGCGGTGCGTTTCGAGAGGGGTGCGGCGTGGGTCCTCTCCGGCCTCGTCCACTCTCTGGCCTCGCGCCGCTTGGGGCGGCGCTCCTCCTCCTCCTCATCCTCCTCCTCCTCCTCCTGCTCCTCCTCCTTCTCCTCCTCCTCCTCCTCCTTCTCCGCCTTCTCCTCCCCCGCCTCCTCAACCTCCTCGTCCTCCGCCTCCGCCTCCTCCTCCTTCTAACCCCTCCGCTTGTGGCGAGCCTCTCTGCCCTGGCCCCCCTCGGGGGGCCTCCGCAGGCTGCTCGAGATGGAGGGCAGCGGCATCCAGGACGACGGGGCCGCGGCGCTCGCGACGGTGCTCGGGGCGAAGAGCGTGCTCAAGGCTCGAGCAGGGGGCCGACAATGTGATCGACTTACGTACCCCAACGCGGATTTTCTCGTCGAGTCCACGAGTGAAGCGTGGAAGGTTCGTCTCGCGAGCTGGCTACGAGCGTTTTCTGCACGGGCTTCGGCGAGAAAACCAACTATGGGGTACACCAATTCTGCAGTCGATCTCCTACTCGAAAGGTGCTGGACCTGGCGGAGAACGGCATCGGCGACAGGGGGGCCTGCAGGCTGGCGGAGGGCCTCGAGAAGAGCGCGTGCCTGGAGCGGCTCGGCCTCGCCGCCAACCAGGTCCAGAGCAGCGGGGGGGTGAGGCTCGCGGAGGCCGTCCGGCAGAGCCGGAGCATCCGTCAGATTTCGCTCGCGGGCAACCAGGTGGGCGACACAGAAGAACGGTTTCGTCGTCAGCGGCACTGGCGCGTAAGCTCCCCACGCAGAAGGTCGCGCGCAGGCGCCCTCTTCTCCGCGCGGTGTGCCACGCTGGCGGCCCGCGTGAGCCGCGGCGTAAGCTCGCCATGTCGTCTCGCGTAAGGCCCAGCCCCCCGACGTCATGTTTTTGTCATACAGTCGACCCCCAGCAGTCTCGACCCATTCCACTGGATCGTTTTTGTTCCCCATCCCGAGTACGATTTTGTTATACGTTTCTGTGGCCTGGCGGGGGCCTTCAGAAGCTGAAATTAGTTGAAAACCTCTTGTCATGTTTTTGTCATTGCCCGAGGGTGTCTGGGGGGCATTTCTTTCCGTCACTCAGGTGTGCGGGCAAGATTTTAATCCATAAGAGTGAGGGGGCTGACCGGTCATTCACTGTCACTGGGTGCGTGGCTGAAGTGGGAATCCTCGATGCGGAGTTTTGGTGTTGCTGTTGGTGTTTGTGTTGGTGTTGTTGTTGATGTTATTGGTGCTGGTGTTGATGTTGTTGTTGTTGTTGTTGTTGTTGTTGTTGTTGGTGTTGTTGTTGTTGTTGTTGTTGTTGTTGTTGGTGTTGTTGTTGTTGAACATTATTTATTCTAAAGAATAATTATTGTTGGGACCCCTGGTGCGCGCCCCCCTCGCCGCGCCTAGGCCGCAGCCACATTTTCATCATTTTCGTGAGGAAGTCTCAGGCAAAACGTGGGTGTCCGGATCCGGTTTTCTTTGTTGACGCCCGCTTTCCCTTGCAAAAAACACTATAAAATGAAATTTCTTGTTCTAACATAACCAAACTTCAAGAATCCTTTGAACAAATGACACGAAGTGCACACTCGCGCGCGCAAGATGAAATCCTTCCAAAACCTTAGTTTTCGTAGCGATTTTAACATAAAAACATGAAAAACCCAATGGTTTTCCCAAACAAAAGTTTCAAAAATTCATCTTGCGCGCTCTTGCGGATTTCTGAGGAAACCCAATATTTTTTTCAACATTTCTGTCAAACGGGCTCTTGCGAGCAACTTTTTCACGTGCTTCGAACTTCTGCAACAACGGTTGCGCGCATGCCAGGGCCATCATCCCTGTCAACTAATACCATATTGGACACATTCGTTTTTTCTTCGCGCGCGCACGCCGTCGTCGTCGGCCGCGGGGCCCTGAATAGTAGCCACGGTCGTCCGCATGCCACGAAGTGAAGTGTCCGAACGTCCTAGGGCGGGAAGCTGGGTGTGGGTGGTGGCGAAGAGTCGTATGGAAATTTGGTAGAGCTTGAACCGGCCCCCCCACAAAGTGGGGGTATTGCCCGCCTCCTATGAAAACCCTGGCACTGGTGAGAACGGAGTGTCCCCAGTCTTAAATGATTGTTGTTGTTGTTGTTATTGTTGTTGTTGTTGTTGTTGTGGTTGCCGTTGCTGTTGATGTCGCTGCTGCCGTTGCCGTTGCTGGTGTTGTCGCTGTTGTTGTCGCTGTTGTTGCTGCTGTTGATGTTGCTGTTGCTGTTGCTGCTGCTGCTGTTGCTGATGCTGATGCTGTTGCTGCTGCTGCTGCTGCTGTTATTGTTCTTGTTGTTGTTGCTGCTGCTGCTGCTGCTGCTGTTGTTGTTGTTGTTGTTGTTATTGTTGTTGTTGATTGTTAATTACGAAACAATTATTATTGTTGGACCCCTTCTAGGCGCCCTGGCGCTCTCGCCGAGGCGCGGCTACATGTTCATTGAACATGATGTTCACGTTCGAGCGGTTTGGGGGACCGCCAAAACGGGCCCCCCAACGACAACAACGCTCCCGCTCGAGACTTCCTCCGTTTTTACTCAGGGCTGGTGTTCTTGCTCGCCGCCGAAAGCCGCCGTCCTAACAGAACCAGCGCTTCCGCTCGAGACTTGCTCCCGTTTTACCTTGGACTGGCGCGCTAGTCTTTCTCTCATCGGCGCCGCCCCCAGCAAGAACAACGCTCCCGCTCGAGACTTCCTCCCGTTTTTGCTCAAGGCGGTGCTCCTCGCCGCCGCCGAAAACCGCCGACCCGACAAAACCAGCGCTCCCGCCCGAGATTTCCTTCCGTTTTACACTGGATTGGCGCCCTACTCTCTTGGGATTGGCGTCGCTCCCAGCAAGAACAACGCTCCCGCTCGAGGCTGCCTTCCTTTTTCCTGAAGACGGTGCTGTTCCTCGCCGCCGACAGCCCCCGTCCCGACAAAACCACGGCTCCCGCTCGATGCTTCATCCCTTCTTACTCAAGGCGGTGTTCCTCCTCGCCGCCGAAAACCTCAGCCCCGACAAAACCAGCGATCCCGCCTGAGACTTCTTTCCGTTTTACGCTGGACTGGCGCCCTACTCTCTTGGGAAGTGGCGCCGCTCCCAGTAAGAACAACGCTTTCGCTCGAGATTTCCTCTCTGTTTCCTCGGGACGGTGCTGTTCCTCGCCGCCGACAGCCCCCGTCCCGACAAAACCACGGCTCCCTCTCGATGCTTCCTCCTTATTTGCTCAAGGCGGTGTTCTTCCTCGCCGCCGAAAGCCGCCGTCCCAACAAAACCAGCGCTTCCGCCAGAGACTTCCTTCCGTTTTACGCTGGACTAGCGCCCTACTCTTTTCAGCATTGGCGCCGCTCCCAGCAACAACAGCAGCCCTGCTCGAGGGTTCCTCCCTTTCTATTCAGGGCCAGGTCCTTGCCTCACCGACGACAGCCCCCATCCCCACCAAGGCAATCGTGTCGCTCGATACTTCCTTGCGCTTTACCCTTCGCTGGGGTTCCACTGGCGGTCTCGCATCGGCGCAGCAAGGCGCGGGCATGTGTTTTCGAGGCGGGAGATGCTGAAATTCCTCGGAGGAGGTGTTTGCAAGACCTCATTGGGCGGGAGATCTGGGAATGGGAATAACGGACCCCGCTGTAGAACAAGAGTCCCCCATGATGTGGACGGTTATCATGATGGTCGCATGCTTCGTGTGGAGACACCGCGCGTGAGGGTAAAATAAGTGTTGTTGTTGCTGTTGTTGTTGGATGTTAATTACGAAACAATTATTGTTGGACCCCTTCTAGGCGCCTTGGCGCTCTCGCCGATGCGTCGGCTACGTTTTCATTGGAAATGAGGTTCACGCTCGAGCGGTTTGGCGGGGCGCCCAAACGGGCCCTCCAACAACACCAACAACAACACCAACAACAACAACATCACCACCAACACCAACAACAACAACACCACAACCACCACCACCACCAACAACAACAACACCAACAACCACAACAACAACAACAACGACGCTCCCGCAGCGGGAGCGGTTTGGGGGGGCGCCCAAACGGGCCCTCCAACAACAACAACAACAACAACAACAACAACAACAACAACAACACCACCACCACCACCACCATCACCACCACCAACCAACAACAACAACAACAACAACAACGACGCTTCCGCTCGAGACTTCCTTTCTTTTTGCTCAGGGCCGGCGCTCTTGCTCGCCGCCGAAAGCCGCCGTCCCAACGAAAACAGCTATACCGCTCGAGATTTCCTTTCATTTTACCTTGGACTGGCGCGCTACTCTTTCTCTCATCGGCGCCGCCCCCAGCAAGAACAACGCTCCCGCTCGAGACTTCCTCCCGTTTTTGCTCAAGGCGGTGCTCCTCGCCGCCGCCGAAAACCGCCGACCCGACAAAACCAGCGCTCCCGCCCCAGACTTCCTCCCGTTTTACACTGGACTGGCGCCCTACTCTTTTTGGAATTGGCGCCGCTCCCAGCAAGAACAACGCTCCCGCTCGAGGTTGCCTCCCTTTTTCCTCAGGACGGTGCTGTTCCTCGCCGCCGACAGCCCCCGTCCCGACAAAACCACGGCTCCCGCTCGAGACGTCCTCCCTTCTTACTCAAGGCGGTATTCCTCCTCGCCGCCGACAACCGATGTCCCAACAAAACCAGCGTTCCCGCTCTAGACTTCGTTTTGTTTTACGCTGGACCAGCGCCCTACTCTCTTCAGCATTGGCGCCGCTCCCAGCAACAACAGCGGCCCTGCTCGAGGCTTCCCCCCTTATTTATTCAGGGCCAGCTCCTTGCCTCGCCGCCGACAGCCCCCATGCCCACCAAGGCAATCGTGTCGCTCGATACTTCCTTGTGCTTTACCCTTCGCTGGGGTTCCACTGGCGGTCTCGCATCGGCGCAGCAAGGCGCGGGCATGTGTTTTCGAGGCGGAAGATGCTGAAATTCCTCGGAGGAGGTGTTTGCAAGACCTCATTGGACGGGAGATCTGGGAATGGGAATTTCGGACCCTGCTATAGAACAGGAGCCCCCCATGATGTGGACGGTTATCATGATGGTCGCATGCTTCGTGTGGAGACACCGCGCGTGAGGGTAAAATGATTGTTGTTGATTGTTGTTGTTGGTGGTGCTGTTGTTGTTGTGGTTGTTGTTGTGTTGTTGTTTGTTGTTGTTGCTGTTGTGGCTGTTGTTGTTGTCGGTTGTTTGTTTGTGTGTTTGTCTGATTGTGTGTTGTTGCTGTTGTTGTTGCTGTTGCTGTTGCTGTTGCTATTGGTGGTGGCGCTGTTGCTGTTGCAGCTGTTGTTGTTGTTGTTGTTGTTGTTGTTGTTGTTGTTGTTGTTGTTGTTGTTGTTGTTGTTGAGTTATCATTTCTGAAGAATAATTATGGTTGATCCCCCCTCACCGGTGCATGCTGTTTTTTCCTCAATCAAAGTATGCCCCTCGACGCTCGCACCCTGTTTTTGGACAGGGAAAGTCTTCCTGCTCAAAGTGGGCCCCTGGCCCCCCGGATTACAACAACAACGGCTCCCGTTTGAGATTTCTTCCGAATTTACTCGGGACCCCCGCTCCTGAGACTTCCTCACAATTTAATCAGGATCGGTGCTCCCGCTTGTGACTTCCTCGCAATTTAGTCAGGACCCCCGCTCCCATCTGAGACTCCCTCACAATTTACTCAGGAACGGCGCTCCCGCTTGAGACTTCCTCGCAATTGAATCAAGATTTCCTTGCAAT